GAGATGTCTTTATACCGTATCCTAGGCAAAGCCCGGTGAGTAATAGTAGTATTTGTTCAACGGTAGTAACAGTAGAAATCGTAGTACTGACTAGTCATGGCAATAGTAGTAACAGTTTGGAGCCTTGAACCCTGAACCCCGAATCCTAGCCATAAAATGTCCCAATGTTCCAATGTTTTCAAGAACTGACCGCTGTACGGCGCTGGAGGCACGCTGCGAAAACGGCGTGTTTCAGTCATGTGTGCCAAATGCTCCCAATCTTCGAAGTCTGCTGCCGCGGTCGGCGTATCATCTATTTGTCATTTTTCGGGCTGTGGGTTTCTTCCAGGCCGGCGGGCTTGGCCGCAGCGGCGTATCGGCGCATGATCGTGTCGGCGTATCGGCGTATCGGCGTATTAGCGTGCTATGGGGGCGCGGAACGGCGTATCGGCGTATCGGCGTATTAGCGTGCTATGGGGGCGCGGAACGGCGTATCGGCGTATCGGCGTATTAGCGTGGAAGGGGGGCGCGGAACGGCGTATCGGCGTATTAGCATGCTATGGGGGTGCGGAACGGCGTATCGGCGTATCGGCGTATTAGCGTGCTATGGGGGCGCGGAACGGCGTATCGGCGTATTAGCGTGCATGGGGGCGCGGAACGGCGTATCGGCGTATCGGCGTATTAGCATGCTATGGGGGCGCGGAACGGCGTATCGGCGTATTAGCGTGCTATGGGGGGGCGGGGAACGCCGTATCGGCGTGTCAGGTGTATCGGCGTATCGGCGTCGGCGTATGAGCGTGCGGGGGGAGGGGGGGGGGCCGGGGGCGCGGGGAACGGCGCATCGGCGTAGTAACGTGCTAGAGGGGCCTGGAACGGCGTATCGGTGTTTGGGGCGGGGAACGGCGTATCGGCGTATCGGCGGGCGGGGGGGGGGGGGCCTAGGGCAAGGGCGGGCGATCGGCGTAACGGCGTATCGGCGCATGTCAGTTTTTGCCCCTCTTTGCATGCACGCTGGTTCTATAGGGACCACCATTGAGCAAGTTTGGTATTCAAGGACGGTCTCCGATGACGTTGAAGCACTGCCCCTGCAGCCGAGGCTGGAAGCCTGCGGTGGGTCCCGGCGCGGGATATCTTCTTGTGTTTTGCTTGGAAGATTCAAGTAGGCCTTAGACGAAAGTGTTCGTCACGGACTTTTTCACGTCAAGAAGTCCGCGGCGAGCACTTTCGTCTAAAGCCTTCCTGAATCCAGTGGTGGTGCTCGAAGATCTTTGACGAGGAGAAGGGCACCGAAGCATTTTTTCAGCTTCATGACTAAATTGTACAGCTACGTCTGTTGTGTGAAGTCTGCAAGACAAGCACTTGTGGGGTGCTTCAGCTTGCTCCTAAGCGCCCATGGATTGGCAGCATTATTAGTGGAACGTCTTTACTTAGGTTATGAAACTGCAGGCTGATCCTAGACGTGCAAGGACAAGAGGTCCGAAAAGGAGCTGCAAGCCGATTCGCAATTCCGATGCTGCGCTGAAGTTCCAAAGCACAGTATCTCGTCTCACGAAAATGCTGGGCAAAGCACAACGATATGAAACGAGCTTACTCTCAGTGGCCTAGTGACTGTAGGGAATTTGCCCGAGCTGACCTTGTTCCAGTTCAGTTGTTAAAATCTGCCCAGAGAGCTGACGCTTCTACAATGCCTTAGCTTGCCTGTAGGCTTTTCTGGCCTCGCAGACTTCCGGGTCGAATGTTTCGGCCTGGACTATGAGCCAGAAGAGCCTCAAACCCTGGCTGGTCCTAGACGCGGCACGATTAAACTCGACAGTGCAACCTCTGGCCCAAGAGGTGCCGGAGCTGAACTGCAATCCAGTTTCCAGATTCCGATGCTGTGTCACAGTTGCAGTCACGAATTCTCGTCTCACAATAATTGGACAAAACATAACGAGCTCGAACGAGCTTACCGTAAATTTGGGTATGTGGCCAAGCTGACCAAACTCTAAACCCTCAGCCTTGAAGGCCTCAACATCTAAAGTGCGAGAGGGAAAAAGCGCCTTTAGTGCAGGATGCAAGTGAAGTGCAGTTACCTGTATCTCATCTGACACCCTGCCAAGTCACTCGCTCAGCAATGCAGGATGCCAGAAATAACTGCAACTGGCGTGATGAGGAACATTACTGAACTGCATCAAGTCGTCTCGGATCAGTTGCAGCCCTCACTTAATGAAGCTGTTCTATTGAAGTATCGGGAAGCCTGACCAGAAGAGCCAGGCCAATCGCACGGAGCTCTTGTCCCGCGAGCACCTCCAGCAGACAGAACAAGATCTTGCCCACTGCTTGCAATTCTGCACGCGGAGCTTAAGGTTTGAGGGCTTCTGACCGAGGTGTGATTCTCGAATTTCTGAACTCAGGCTTGTTGAAGACTGTTTTCGTGTTTCCCCTTCCGCCTGCATGAGCAGAAGCCTTGGTTCTTCCGTTAGCACGGTAGCTGGCAGGCTTTCCAGGCAAGTGCTGCTCGTCTGGCACCAGATGAGGCCGGGCAAATCCGGGTTTAGTATTAAAGAGGGTGAAGTCATTTTCTTCACTACATTGCCGGCCTGTAGATCTTGCTATGCCTGCTAAGCTTGAGAGTTTTAGTCACGCAACTTTGCTTTTGATGGCACGACGGCTGGTTGGAGGATGTGGAGGTGCTGGACACCCTCGAGGAAGGCAGACAGGACCTCAGTCCACCACTCTGAGATGAGTCCACCCGACCACGAAGGATGAACAAATCCTCAGCTGTAGGACTGTAGGGCTGCTTTTTAAAACAAGGGAGCCACGGTGGCGGAGAAGGGACGGTTCCACGGTTCGATCTGACCGGGCACCGCGCTGCCGAGGATTGTTTGGAACCATGGCAGCGCTTCCGGCCTACAGCCCGGAGCCCTTCTCCATCGCCCTGCACTCAGAGCTCGCGGCTTCCTGTGCTCTGGGTTTGGGGCAACTTATAATATGGTTATGTGGGGACGAAACAGGGTGAGCATTCCAACTCCACAGGTGGTTCGCTGCACGGGAGAGACGTGCACTCTCTACTCTGTAGATGGCAGGGCCCTCATTCTGGGTGTTGTGCAGTGGGCAGCCCCACAGTTGTGCTTGGTTGCCACAACTTGTCGGTATGGCTACGTCCACGTTTCATGGCTTCAGCCTTGCTTGAGATGGCCTATTGCCGGACTTCGGCCCTAGAAGTTCGCGTCCTCTTGAGCTGCAGCATGAAGAAAGGCTCGTCAATGCAAAACCTGCCCTCCAAGCTGCTGACGTCTGGGGCCCAGTAGTCATCGGAGTGTCAGTAGATTGGTTTCGTTTCCGGCATCCGCGTTGCAAGTTGTTTGGAGAAGTGTTTCGGAGTAGAAGCTTCACAACATGTCTGCACAGCACGGTCTTCAAGAGGCCCCTTGGGGCAATCCAGCCAGTATAGTATAGTGGAGGCATATCATCGAGATGTTCCAGCGGGCAGCCACAGTGCCGGGAACAGACTTTCCCATAGGTCAACTTGGGAGGTCTCAGAAATATCGGCTTCTTTAGGCTCCCCCTGCGCGCAGGAGTTGGCAGAATGACGGCCTAACAGGATCCACCGCAATGCTGCACGTTGTTCTCACCTGTTTAGCGAGTGGAGACATGCCCCAAACGATATCTCAGAGGACCAGAAGCTATGCGAAATCCAGAGAGTGCATTGCAGGGCTTTGCGAGAACAGATGGCCGAGGTGGCGGTGCGTGCTAGGATTTCAGACAGCACCTTGAGGGCTCCACGGGCTATCAGAGGCTTCTCATATTCAAAGCAGGTTGGAGGCTTGCTGTACACGGGCATGGGGGCTCCTCCGGAAGTATTTTGCAGCGTTCCCCTGGCCTTTCATCGCTCTGGGAGCCTGTGCAAGCCGACATGCCAGGAAGCCACCCATCGCATCGCACGGATTCAATTGCCGGAAGAGGAGGAGAGCCAGGCCGCATAGAATCTGAAGGAGGTGTGCTCCGTCTGGTCTGGAGTTCAACCGTGAAGGTGGAACATCAGGTCAGTGCATCGGGGTGCTTTAGGGGGTAACAAGTGGATCCAACAGATTTGCCAGACTGCCACACCTACCTCCATGCCAACAAGCCGAAGCCGGAGCTCAGGCTTTCTCTACGCACAGCAGTGGAGACAATGTGCAATGCCAGTGTCAAGATCATAGTGGCGTATCCATGTAGCCTTCTGCATAGCATCGGTTTGTTTGTGGTCAGGGCCCTACAAGTAGTTATGGAATGCAATGTGCGCTGACGTTACGTAGCACTTGGCTCAAAGCTGCCTTACGCTCTCCTGTCCAACTTGTCACAGCCGTGGCCTCGGCAGAACAAGCTTTGCTGTGCGTCACGAGGGTCCGTGGGCCCATGAACTTTTGCGGTTCTGTTCAGCCTGTGGGCTTGCGCCCAGGCTGTTTGCCGTGGCAGAGAAGGCCGGATCCTGTCAAACACTCAGCCACCACACAGATTCACCCTACATTGACAACAGCAAGTCAGTCTGCAACTTCCTAGCAGCATAGGCCTCCGACTCCGAGAGGTTATTGCTATTGCAGGACTAGCGACAAGCCTTTTTGGGCGCAGAGGCTTTACAGCAGTTGCAACACGGGGGATGGTTTGCATCCATGTCATCCTCTCTAGTACTGGCCGCCCGCCTAGAGAACTTGTATCTTGCCCGTCAGGACAAGCTTGCGCGTCGGCGACACCAAGGCAAACACAGACGTGGTGGTTGCCGGCCTAGTCCAAGATGAACATCGGGGTCGTATAAAGATTCCAACGGCAACCGTTCATACGTGCAATTGGTCAAGATCGGTGTTGTTGAGTGAGAGGTATGGATTTTCGTGGAGGAGTGGCATGTGTCAGTGTCAGGTGTGCTGGCTCCAAGACAGCTAGTTAGAGGTACAAAGACGCACCTCCCACCCGTTGGGACTTGTAGCAGAGTCGGCTGAGTCTGCTTCATGCGAAAACTCGAGTTTTCTGCCCTGCAGGTCCTTGACTCCATTACATCAGCAACAATGGAGGCGAGCTGAAGTGCTTTTGTTGCCGTCCATCTTGGGTGGCACGGAGCTGGGGATGTCTTGAAGTTCAAGGGTGTCGAAGAACATCGAAGAACTGACACTGAGGTTGTAGCGCAGAGTGAAGCTCGTGACACCCAAAGTGGGTTGATGGTTTCGTGCCAGAGTCCTTCGATTCTCCAGTCACGCGGTCTTAGCAACCCCCCTGATCGCAGGTGACGCTTTCGGACACAATCGGCCTGCCTCAGGGAACCTTGCTCTCCATCCGAGTGGGCGAGACTCTCAGAGCCCGATCTGGGAGTTTCCGAATACTAGGGGTCTGATGGCACCCTTATTGTGTTTGCAAAGATCTGTATGTTTGCACCAAGAACCCCGAATGCTAAATTTGGCTGGCAGACGATTTCCCTGCTGTGCGACTTGTTCAGCTGGGCGGGTGGCAAAAATTAGCTGGCCCTCACCCATGTTTCAATGGCAAAGTGTTCGCAGATGCCAGGCAGAGGTAAGTGTCCAACACCCATCGCACTTGCACCTTCAGGCTCCACGCGCAGGCAGGCGGTTGTAGACTCGAAGTTCAAGCTGGTCTTCCCCAAGGGCTGCAAGCACGGGGAGGACATCAAGGCCGGCGAGACTTGGAGCCCCAAACAGCTCCGTGCTTTGAGACAACACCTGAGCAGAATTTGGCAGGGAGAAAGGTTTCATACATTTGCGGGCCATGACCCTGACAAAGTCTCCTGCTCGCCCGCAGCAGGTGGATGCCCTGCAGCAGATTGGAAGCAACATGCCCCATGGCACAAATCTGTCCACATCTCCAGGTCACTAAGCGGACGTCATTCCGAAACTCTGCCCTTTTCAGAAACACCAGGGTTGATGTGCTCTCATCGTTTCTTCCGAGCAGCCTGAGGATGAAGTACAACGAGAGTGTTGGCCGCTATGACCTCGATCTGGACGACTTCGGCTCCAAGGTGCAGAGATCGAAGATGCAGTGAAGTGAGCTTGATCTGTCCCTGCCATCATGGCCCAGTCTCATACCAGATGCATTCGACTGGGTTGTGCTTTGGGATAATTTTTAATTCCCCTTATTTCCTTAGAAAGGGAACCTATTCATAAATAATTTTCAAAGGGTTAAAAGCACAACCCAGTCGAAGCAGTTGGTGGTGACAGCCTGTTTTTTTTGGCGCAGCGGGCAGCTGACGGCCTGTGCAGGTGTCCTTGAACATGCGAGAAGTCATCCAACCTGCGACGGAGCAGGTGGGAATCCACAAAAAGTGGCTGCGATTAGGCACTGGTCCTTGTAGATCTTTTGGGGATTTTCTTTCCGGAAACATGAGTGAGGCATAGTAATTGCTCACATGGTCACAACCCCAACCGAAAGCTATTTGCTGAGGCGAAGGGGTCCGTCACAATGACCGTATCCAGGGCAAGTCAAGTCATGGCTTCTTGCTTATAGTAGAACTGAGGGAGTCAGGAGAGCTACAGGAAAGTGCACTAGGGTCACTAGGAATTCAGTATCGCCAAACCTGCTTACGACATACTGACATACCTTTCGGACAAACAGCCCATCCGAAGCACCATGAGCTTGCAAGCTTTGAACGCTTGAGCATGATGAGGCAGAATGGATATGAAGAAGCGGAACAACCAGAGTGGAGTAGCATGAACAGTAAGAGCCCGGTGAACCGCAACAAGAAATGGAGCATCAGCACACGCAGCAATGCAGCGAAGCCCGACCAGCCCGACTACTGTCACTTTCACTGGAGTGAGACTAGAAGAATGGATTGTGCAGTGAACGTAGTGGAGCCCAGCTGTGTGGGGGGCTTTACTGTGCGAAAATCGAGGGTGCAAGCGGGTGGAGGCAGAAGGAACAAAGGAAGAGGGAGAAAGCGAGAGTAAGTCACCTTCAAGCATGGCTTGGTTTCGCAACCTTGAAAATGTGCTGCAAGCCTCTTGAACGAATTTTAGAGCGAGGAATGTCCCTGTCGGGTCTTTTGCCTCTGGCACCATCAAAAGCCCTGAGCTTTTGGAGCCTTTCGGCCAGGAGATCAGTGCCGCACCCGAGGCCGCCAAGGTCGACGACAGCTCCGCCTGGATGCCAAAAGGGCCCTTGTAGAATGGAGTGTAAGGATTTGGGGGGCTCATGTTGAAGCTTCAGGCCTTCAGACAGGAGTCTCTACCGCTCCTGGGATTACAGGCTCAGCAAATTCACTCCAGTGAGACAGGACCCTCTTTCAGCCAAGGCGTGGTGGTAACTGTAGCGGGGTTGTGCTTCTTCGGATTTCGGAATTCGGCAAGTTTGTCCGTTGACCTGCTCACCTTTGGGGTTTATTGACAAGGCACGTGCATGTCATACTGCATGAGGCACGTGCATGTCATACTGCATGAGGTTGCATAATTTACTACTTTGCATGTAGCATGTGCATCCTTCTTTGATGTCTGGTCCCACAGTGAGAAGCGTGGATGTTGCGGTTCTGTCACAGGCACAGTAATGTATCCTGCGACTGCCAGTCACTCCTGCTGACCCCGCAGACGTGCACCTCTCGAGAGACCCCGAGGTTTTTTCTGCCACGGTTGCCATGGCTGACTCTACCTGCAAGGGGATCACTGAGGGGGGGGGGCAGGACGGCCAATTTTTTCCTGCCCAGCACTTCGTGGACGACCGGATGATAGGCTCATTCATCCTGATAGCAGCTGCTCTCTCGTGTCTGTGTCTCTGCTTACTCTGCCTTTTTCGCAAGATGAGTTTGCAACTGACGGACCTTTTGAGACAGCAGTCCAGACTGACCGAGCTGATGACCACCCTTCGTACTCCGGTCTTGGTTCCAGCACCAGGCATTTTCCCTGACACCCTGAAGGAGCAAGTTTTCCAGGCCACGCAAGGTCTACGCGGACAGAATAGAGACCTTCAAGCCCTGGTGCTGCGAGTCCAAGGACATGTCGAAACCCGCCTTGCTGCACTGGAAAAACGAATGGGCTCCCTCTGCAGAGCTGTTAAGCATGTCGATGACATGTACAACGAGATCGTCACCGTGGTTACACAGATAGCTGATGTACTGGATGATGTCCTGACCAAGGAAGAGAGTCTGTATCAGCGACACACGGCTAGTGTCGCGGGAGGGCTCCAACGCTTGGAACAAGCACTGCGCCAAACTCGGTTGACGGCCCCAGCTCCGACAGATGTTACGCATACCTCCTTCCTGGCCGACATATTTGCGCTGCAACAGCATCTTCGCACACACATGGACACAGATGTACTGCCGGCGCTCCGCTACATTGCGGACCACATGTCCCTCCGCGACTCGGACAGTTCCGCGATGCTGCGACAGGCACTGGAAACCCTTTCAGGTGTGGAATCTCATGTCGTGCAGCTCTACCCAGCCTTCGAGCGACTCGAACGAGTCGTCCTAGCTGACCGGCCCACGACTACAGACAATGCCCTGGATACAGATACAGGGGATCACTGCACTCCGGAGCTTGACCTACCGGAAGGTCACGCCGTGGTTCTCGATGATGGCACGTGTATCACCATTGCACCGGGCCTGTGATGCAAGTGCATGATGCAAGTGCACACAGTGAATTCATGAATTTGTAATTTGTAATCTAGAATTTAGTGCATACCGGCCTCTTCCTGCATGACCCGAATCTTCCTGAAAAAAGATCCGACAGACGCTGCCAACAAGGTCCCCTCTAATCCCTCCATAGGTCACTCTATTCAGTCTGTTTTATTCCCCTTCCCCCAATGTTTCGGCCTGACTGAGACTGTTTCTAGATCGGTCTGACTTAGACTGTTTCTAGTTCCCCACAACCTTGCTTTACCTCCGAGTAACTTTTCTGCCCCCTATGTCCTTGCACCATGAGACACGAGTGTATGTTGCTAGGCCACCTTTGTTGCAGCCTCCCGCACTCAACTACATCAGCCCGTTTTGCTTTTGACTCCTAGATCCCTACAGTAACGCTCACACATTGACAGGCCGCTTTGCATGCTGTCTACTGCAAGTGCTGCTGACCGGCGAGGATGGAAGCAAGTGAAATCTGCACTCTCCCGGCGAAGCCGTTGTGCCGACCCGAGACCCCCAAGGCTCTTCCATATTTCTCTGCTGCCATGGTTACACTGGCCGTCCATTTGAGCCAGTTAATGCCGTGGCTTCAGTATGCGGCCGATTTCGCGCCATACGTGCTTTTCCTTGTTATCCTCACAGCCTACATGCAGCACACCTTCGAGTCCACGTTCAAACTCTTTGAACGACGTTTGCAGATCCAACTGGAGTCCAAGCTGGATGGACAGTGGGATAAAATCCGCCAAGCCCTTGAAGAACTACAACAGCAAGTTCACGGCCTGGTGGAAACCACGATCCCGGGACTTCCCACAACACCAGACCTCCAGCGACTTCTTGACAACTTGGAACAGACGGTCACGACAGAAGTACACCAACGCAGCCAGGCGTTCCAAGATCAGCTGAACACTCAGGTTCAGCCAGCCACGCTACTTGGCAATTCAGTGCATGTGATCAAAGGGATCCTACAAGGCCCCACCGAAGACCAGTCTCCGTTGACTCTGCTCCGGAAACTTTTTCTCAGTTTACAGCCGACAAAACTGCTGAATCAGTCCTCCATTACGCAGGGCGCCCTCGACGATCTCCAAGGCTCCCTGCAGCAATGGCTTGAGGGAGAGATGTGTTCTCGCATGGACAAGATGATCGACTTACAATCCAAAGTCCAGGTGGAGCTCTCTACCCTAGTGGATGCCAGCGGCCCGGACTGGACTACACAGATGTCCACCACTATGCAAGAGCTCCAGACCTCCCTGGCCAGCGCTGTGGACTCACGAATGGAACTGGCGAGTCAACTTCATGCGATCATGAACCACGTGAAGCAAGCTTGCTCTCTGGTCACCAACTTTCGCAATGAGGCTATGCCATCCTTGCATCAGGTGCAAGGCATTGGCAACACGCAATGGGGTCAAGCCGATGTCCTTAATGCGATCCAGGACATCACGGGCTCGATCGATGAGAAGATGAAGCGCCACGGGGAGTGCAACAAGGCAATACAGGCCCAGTTGGAGAAGATCGCCGCTCGCCTCACTCCACCGATGCCTACCAAAGCTCCACCGCCTCCAACGCCAGGTTCGACAACTACGACTGCACCGACCACGGCACCCTCTGGACCGGCGTCGTCGCAGCCTGCATCGACCCCGGCATCTAGTGCCGCACCACCGCCAATGCCGGCGACTGCGCCTCAGGCTTTCGCCCCCGGGCAGACGACTACAGACCAGACTTCGACTGCCCCGATCCTACGTTTACACGAGTCTATGCCGGCACGCCAACCGGTTCAGCTGTCCAATCTGCTGAGCAGTCCCCCTGGATGGCGCATGGGCCCGCAGACCTACCTCGATCCTCGCGCCCAAGACGCTCTGAACCTTATGGCTAGTCTCCTGGGAGGTGCGATGCAGTATCCACCACAGTAAAGTAGCGACCAGGCTATCGGACCAAGCATGCCTGACCTTTCTTTACTTGGTTGTTTCTTTGGTGTTACTTGACTTAGGATCGTTTTGGTTTACCTGCCTTTCGGCGCTGGCACTTGCTTGGGCTCCGATCCTCAACATGCATGTGCATTCTGCATTCCACTTAATTCATATTTCGTAATTGATAATTCGTAATGACAGTGGCGGCAGACTCCTGCATGTGCTGTGACAAAACGAAGGATGCGCGCCCTCCCCCTCAAGCCCTGAGTCCTCAAGGCCCCAACCCACTGCAACATATCCATCCTGCATACTTCTAGGTCTGAGCACTGCGAGTCCCAAAACTTTCCTACTCGCCCGAACCTCCCCCACAAAAAAAAAAAACCGACCCGAACCAACTCGCTTCCTTACCTAGCTCCAGACCCACTTACCCACTTTCCCCCCTTCCCCTGCTCAGTCTCTATAGCTCCTGACTCCATACCTGCTCATGGAACCATTTGCTGAAACCCAAGAGGACTCGGCGACTCCCCCCCCTCCCGATCCCCTTTCAGCAAGCACCCTAGACCAAACCTCCCAGGATGCTAACGAGCCTGCCGCCTCGACCACTGAGGTACGACTCTCTCGGGATACCACCCGAGCTGAATCACCCAGAGACAGGGAGCCGGATTCCCCACTTCCCCGTAAAAAACAAAGGCACCTGAAGCTCAAAGCCAATGACCCTGAAACCCCCGAAGACATAGACTTTGCCCCCACCAACAAGTCCCTCGAAGCCCTCTCCGAAAGCTTTCTCATGAACGTCGGCACCCTGGACTTGGAGGACCGCTGCTTGGCCATGGCTCGCCTTTCAGAGGAAGTGCCTAAGAAATTCTAGGATTTGGATGAGGGTGAAAACAGGTTTCTGCTTTTGGGACAAACCACCCGGCTTGCTAACGCGCTCACGCGCCTCACGGACTCGCATCCTGGCTTTACACAAGCTGTCTGTGCTTTTATTCGCTCGATTCAACCCGAGGAGACCCCTTTTACTTCTGCCTCCATTCGCCTAGGCCCTGGTAAGCCCTGCCATACGGACGATCGTAATTCATGGGCTCCATCACTGGTCATTGGACTCTCTCATTTTACCAAGGGACGAGTCTGGATCGAGAACCCTACAGGCACAGTAGAGGGATGGAAACCTGGAAGTGAGGACGTCCGACTAGGTAGCTTTGTCAATATCCTGCACAAACCTTGCCTTTTCAGCTCCCGTACCCTCCTACATGGTACCGAACTTTGGCACGGTGAAGAACGTCGAATCCTCACAGCTTGGGCCCCACAGATTGCCGCCAGCAACCATCTGTATTTCAACACTACCCTCGCGCTGATGGGCTTTCGACCCCCTACCTCTCCGCAAGCATTGAACAGGTATCGCCTTTCAATTTACTATGGGGAGTATGCTGTCAAGCAAACCAAGCTCCCCGATGCCTTTTGCAGGGAACGCGCGCAGGACTTCACACACTCGGCCCAGGAACCTGTCCTCGAGGTCTCCGATGGTGAGGAGGAAGAGGTCTCCATTCCAGAGATCGTCTTCCCATAAGCGGGCTTCTGGGCTCTGCGAGGGGTGTAAGATCCCTCACTCGCCCCCTTGTTCTGGTTTTCCTTAACTGAGCCCCCGCCGTTGCGTTTTTCTACACAACATACAACATCCTTACTTCGCGTCGTTCGTGGACGTCCGTTACGCCACAGGCCCCTCGTGAATTCACTAATTCGTCATATCTAATTAGCGATTGCTTTAATTCCCCTTGCAAGCAAAAAAAAAACACGCACACAGCGAGCTGGCACTCTCTACACTCCTCCTCTTCCTCCTTTCACTTCCCTCATTGACTCTCCTCTTCTTCATAATCATTTCACCCTACTCGGTCAGTTAGCCGACACTGCAATGGATGCACCGCCATGGAATCGCCTCTGGCATAATCTCTGACTGCAGCTAATGGGAAGATGTTGCTGGCCCCCGTCTGACCAGAAACACCTCTGCTGGACTGCTTAGCTGGAAGGCTTGGAGATTCCCCGCAACAGGTTGGACGTTGACGAGACACTTCCCAGATACCTGGGTCTGCAGTAGACCATAGCGAGAACCGATGACATGGCCACAACTCGCTCCTATGGGCAAGCGATCGTTTCGTTTGGAACCTCCTGGCATTGCCTTGCCTCCGCTCTTACCTCTGACGAGCCACAGCTTTGAAATGGCTGTGAATCTTCTGCGTACAAGCGGAGCCTCTTTCGACTCTGCCAGTGCAACAGACATCGCCCCCGTGAGCTTGGTGGTGATACTGATCTCCCTCGCGCGAGATAGTGGATGACTCTGACACGCGAGCTGGTGAAGAACACTGGCACACAATAGTGACTGCCGATTCTCCCACAGGCAAATGGGCACGGCCTTTCCGTGCCTGCCGTATGCTCCAGATGGCTTGTTGCTGGCGAGCAAACTTTGTACGCGCACCTACACATACAGGTGGCCCGACCTACTCAGGATGGCAGCTGACAGTGATGCTTCTTGTGGCTGCTCAGGGATGGGATTCCCCGCTGTTTCCCTGCTGTCGTGCACGGTGGCTCGACCACCCACCTGGTCCTTTCGACACATGTGGACGAGTGAGCAACAGTGAATGAGTGAGCGTTGTACAGCACTAGATACCCAACGTGGCAGATCATCCTATAGTCAAGCCACATATCTGCATCCTAATTGGCCTTTGAACTGCCGTCTGCAATTAATAATTAGGCATCGAATGCGAATTTTCCCAGTGAGTACATTGTATGGTGTTTTCTAGTCATCCGTTTTGCTTCCTTACACTGTTCAGCATTATGTTCGCAAACTTGCCTGTGCATGAGCATGTAACTACTGTGGTCTTCTTTTCAACTGTGTACACAGCGACGCCCTCTCCGGGATCCTGCAAGCCACTCCGGGGTACCTATGGGGTTGTTGGGGCTACTGTGGCTTGCTTTCTTGGTGAGCGCTAGGTTTCTGAGGCTCGGCGACAATACGTGTGCCCTATTCTGTACGGTTGTCATTTGCTCCTGGGCCTTTCGAAGTGGCACACGTATTCTCCCTGGGGCCCCTCTCTTCAAGTCTTCGAGTTCTGACGAGTTCCCTGCGGTGCGACTTGTTTCAGCTGGGCGGGTGGCAAAAATGTATGGGATGAGCATTTGACCGTTGAGGGCCGAGGGCTTCATTTTCAGGACATATTATTTCGTCCTTTAGCCCCAGGTTCGGAAGCGGTCACAAGTTGGTTGCCATTGCCCTGGTCGTACGTTTACCTGCTTCCCCCGTCATCGCTCAGGTGAGTCATCGCCACCGAGTGGCAGCTTGTCTGCATTCGCAGATCTGCAGCTCTAGAGCTTCGAACACGAAGATGTCACTTGCAGGCAGTGTATGCCCGCAAGTACTTGGATGAGCACAAGCTCCTCACCTGGGCCCACAAGCGTGGGCACCCAGACTCGGCGGAAGCCAAATCTGCAGTTGAGGCGGAAGCAAAAATTCGCCGTTTCTTGCCCAAGCTGAACGCTTCTGTCTGCAACCGGAGAAGAATGAGTCACTAAATTTGCATGATATTGAATGTAGGTGCTGGCTACCCTGCAGCCCTGTACCGAAAGTTGCATCGACGGAAAGTCAGGTTCGGATTGATGGGAAGATGATGGTGGATCGTGTGGTCTACAGTGCAAAGGTTTTGTGCTGGTCCCCTGAGTCGCGACAGTATCATGTCAAGTCACGCAATGGCTCTAAACTTTCAGCCCAGTCCTGAAGCAATGGCCTTCGTTGTCGAAGTGGTGCTGCTGAGCGGCCATCGGGCCATGGTCAGTGCGGAAGCGGCGCATGGGGAGGAGTTAACCGTGGAAGCGCTCCGGCACCGAGCACAGCTGGCATTGGGTGTTGGGATTAAGGCAAGCGCGAAGTCTTGGAAAAGCTTCTGAAGATGCAGCCTCTGTGGTGTTGCACGTGTATGTGTCTGTGTGATATGTTGTCTTGCTTGTCGAGGCTCTGGTCAGCGGGGAGCACATCCTCCCGGACAAAGCCACGGTGGCTTCGACAGGCCTCCGACACGGTGACACGGTCTTCGCAACCGCCCGGCGTGCGAAGTTGATCGCGACGCGCCAGCGCTGCCGCATGTTCCAGGGCTCGTGTCATGATGGCGGAGCTTTTGCCCTCATCCTGAGCAACGGGACGGTCAGGACATGGGGGGATGAAGCATTCGGTGGTGACAGCTCTACTGTCCAGGAGAAACTGACGAATGTTGAAGACATTTGCGCAACCTGTGGTGCGTTTGCCGCGCTACGTGCGGACGGCAGCGTCGTTTGCTGGGGAAGCATCTCACTCGACGCTATCGGCGAGGAAGGGCTGCAAGAGGTGCGGAGCCTGTGTGCATCCAGCCTAGCCATGGCAGCCGTGAGGAAAACGGATGGCTCGGTGGTGACTTGGGGCCAGGGTCCTGCCAGTGTCAATCCTGGCCTTGGCTTGACGGACGTGCAGCAGATGGCCGCGACTGATGGAGCCTTTGCTGCTGTTTTAGGCAATGGCCGTGTCGTTGCTTGGGGCTTCGAGCCATTTGGAGCCGACACTCGGCCAGTTGAAAGCGAGCTGGTAAATGTCCGGCAAGTCGTAGGAGCAGGCTTCGCATTTGCGGCAGTCCGGGGAGATGGAACTGTTGTGACCTGGGGCGTGGAGGACCGGGGTGGCAACTGTGAGCATGTTCGAGGGGAGCTGAAGCAAGTGGAGCGGGTCTACTCAAACTATTTTGCGTTTGCTGCACTACGGTCGGATGGCACTGTGGTGACCTGGGGACTTTCTGGCTTTGGTTCCGACAGCAGTATGGTGAAAGAAGAGCTGCATGATATCCGATCCATCGGTTCCACCGCCGCGGCCTTCGCTGCCGTCCGTGGAGATGGCCATGTGGTGACCTGGGGCGCCCCGGGTCTCGGAGGCAACAGCACGGCTGTGCAGAGCGAGCTGCGAGGCGTGCGGCAGGTCGTGGGCTCCTCCGGGTCCTTTGCCGCTTTGCGCGACGATGGCACTGTCGTTACCTGGGGTGCCAGCGGCGACAGCTCCCATGTGCAGCACCTGCTGACGGATATCGAGTCTATCGCTGCCACCGGCCAGCTCTTCGCCGCGGTGCGTTCCGACGAAGTGGCCGTGACTTGGGGCTCGCATGGTCAGATGCGGCAAATTGAAGCCGCCGGGCAGGGAGATTGAAACCACGAAGATGCTGGAAAAGAAGCGCCTGCGTATGAAATCCCGCAAAAACATAGTTCTGACCTGCGAGGCTGTTTCAGGACTTGATCCACGACCAGCCGGCGGATCCCTGGGGCTACATCGATAAGCGCCAGAGTCCCAGGGGTACGGAACAGAGAGCTGCTACTGACAGTTGCAGTGGTTTTGAAGTCGGTGCGGTGTGCCATGGCAGCCCAGGCTCAAATGAAAAATATGTTGTTGTAACTCGTAGCGGCCTGGAGAGAGACAACGCAACGAGTGCACAATCAGTGAAATCGCAGACCCTGGGATCCTTCGCATGGTGCTGGTGGTCCTGTAGCTGCTACAGGTAGCCGTCAGCAGCTGCAGCAGCAGCTGAACTGAACTCACAAAGCCACTAAGCCCTGATGCAGTTGTGGTATCATCTTGTTTATGATTCATTGATCCTTCCCTTTCCGCTCTTGATGTTTCTTGTTTCTTTGTGATGCCGAAGGCTCGGCAGAGGCGAGGGGCGAAGCGGAGTTCGCGGCAAAGGCCGAGGCTGGTCCTGTTTTTCCAATCTTGGCGTTTAGGGTTTAGGAAAAAGGTTTAGGGGGAAGGCTTAGAGTATCGGGTTTGCGATGTGATGATGCTTTTGTACCCTTTCACCTCAAGCTAGCGTTGGGAGATTCTGCCATTTCGAGCTCGGAGAGTGCGCGGTGGGATTCAGGTCAGGTTTTCAGGAGTACGCGCATGCGGTCTTAGCGCGCATCCGAGGACTGGAGAGTCTTAGGGCAGGTTCAGCGTGAGGTTTGCATGTCTTGGGTTTGGCGAACTCCTCGGTGGGGTTTGACTCGCAGCCTTTGCTGCGCACCTTGTGGTTGCTTACCAATGGGGTGGCGTGACAGAAGCTAGGCGCAGAAGTTGCGGAGCTTCTTGACATCGGTCGGACATGCATTTTCGTGGGGTCACAGAAGCAGCCCCGTCCACGGTGTCCTAACCTACCCTAGCGGCCCTAGCGTGAAACCTTTGGCCTTTGATGTTTCCGCAAGAGGTGATGATGTTTGCATTATCTCTGAGACTCTAAACCCTAAACTTCCCAAGCCCCAAACTCCATCCTCCTCTGAACCCTCTACTCTCCTGCTCTAAGCTTGCTGGCTTGCTGCCCCCAAAACTGCCGGATCGCCAGGCCGAGAAGAAGCTGGCTCAGGCTGACTTGGAGGCTACCGTTTGTGGGATGATTCCTACTGTATCATTTTTCCTTGCTACTTTCTGATTATCCGTACTAATGTTAACAACTATTATTGTTGTTATGGTCATTGCTTAGTTTTAGTAGTAGTAGTAGTAGTAGTAGTAGTAGTAGTAGTAGTAGTAGTAGTAGTAGTAGTAGTAGTAGTAGTAGTAGTAGTAGTAGTAGTAGTAGTAGTGGCAGTGGCAGTAGCAGTAGCAGTAGCAGTCTTGTTGTTAGTATTGGTATTATTGACATCATTGGGATCATGACTGTTGTTATTGTTCGTAGTTTCATTATGAGTAGCAGTACTGCTGCGACTAATGGAATCATGAATGTGTTTATTCTTGTTCTTGGGACTATTATCACAAGTATTACTATTACTATGGCTGTTTTCTTATTATGTATTATAGATTGCTACTGTAGATGATTGTTAGTATATTCAATATAGTAACATCTATTGGCATTAATAGTTTTCTTGGTGTCATTACTTTTATTGTTAATGTTATTGTTGATCACTATTTTTAGTATTATAGTATTTTGAGTATTGTTACTATTGTTGTCACTACTATTATTACTGGTATTCCTCACTGTCATCATTATCAGAATCAGAATCATCATCATGTGAATCAGACTTTCCATTATTTCCATCACTATTATGAGAAGCTGTGCTCGTGGATTTATGTGTGTATGGGCATATACCATGTACCCTCACAGGTGCATGCCAGCGCCCACTATTGACGGTGCAGAAGTAAGACTTAGCGCATCAGGTAACGTTCTTTCAAGCTGTTCGTAAATTGATCGGGCCAGGAATGCGGAATAAAAAGTAGATAGCAATAAGAATGGCAGTCTCCGTGATTGTGTTGGCCTTAAGAAGCCTGTGGCAACAATGCTAGTCGTTCATTTCGTGCTTGAGCCGATCGTCGTCGTCGTCGTCGTGGACGACGACGGCAGGTGACAAGAACAGTTCGCCATAAGTTTTCATGGCTGCTGCTGATCACGGAAACCGTGGACGACAGTATTTGTGTGCGAAGCTAAGTTGTCATGGCTCCAGGGTTCCAGGTCTGTGGGGCGGTGCAGGATTTACTTCGCAAGCTGACAGAGCAAAGTGCCAGGACATCCGCCAGCGCACCGCAACCCAGCTTCAGCAGGCCTTGTGTGGCCAACGGTATGCTCTAACAGCACTGGATGCATCGTACAGAGCTAGATCGCTGGTCTTCAGCAGAGCAGGGCACGTGGAAGTTTCAAGTTTCGTGTCCGCCTGGTTTACGTCTTTCGATTGGAGCTTTCAGAGGTCGAGCATTGAAACCCCAGTTCATCCAAGCCCCGTCTTAGAACATGCCGCAATGTGATCGCAGATCAGATTAGATTGCACGGCAGACCTTTTAATTTGCTTTCAAGGGCACCCTGTCCTTAGCGCAACGCCGAACTCCGGCACCAGCGGGGGGCACTTTAGCCCTACTTGGCGAATGCTTCTTTCAGGCGGCTGAGGATGGCAGCCTCGAGAACGCCCTGAGCCATTCTCAAGAGGCAAGAGCCTGAGACGGTGCACCACCACTGACATCATAAGTTGCAACATGCCGTCCCAAGGCCATGCAGAGTATCGTAAACATTCTACCGTAGCTGTGACAGCAGGCCCGAAACCTGGGCAATGACATGCGTAAAGACTGCTTGAGGGCTTCAAGGACTTGGCAGCTTCAGGGCGGCCGAGAGCCTTTCCGATTTGGGGTTTGCTGTTGAGCATCGCCACATCCCTGACATGGAAGCAGGAAGAAACGTCGACTCAGAATTCGATTGTGCTGCTGTAACGGGGGCTGCATCTGAAGACGGATGCCACCTTGATGTTCAGCTGCGCACATGTAAGGTCCATGTAGGGTAAGCGCAGATCTTCAATAAAGGCGCCGGAGCTGCCACCCATGTCGAAAGAGCTGGAAGACATCACCGACTCCCAGGAGGTAGCACACATGAAGACGGAAGAGGCGACTGCACGCGGGGCTTTCAGGAGAAGTAGAACAGTATAACAGTTCTATCATGGCTCTATCGGATTTCTGAGAATTGCTTTATAGGGTTTCACGGGGCTTCACGGCTCTTCAGCAGCCTGGGCATCGTTCTTGCCTCAGGAGGACTTGGACAACCTTCGCTTGAAGACCCAGGCTGCCTTGTTTCGTGCTGCCGAGGACACGTCGGGATTAACGTCACTCCGGATCAAAGCCTGCGAAAAGGGAGCGTCCGAGTATTGTTTCTGTTACTATTTCGACAGCTATTCCTGTTGCTATAAGAATTGCTATTGCTATTACTCTTACTCTTACTTGACGAAATTAGCATTACTATTACTATTGCTATTACTTTTACTATTACGACTACTATTCTTACAATCACTGCTAAGTCGTGCTTGTTGAGCTTTGGCCGAGTTTTTTCTGGTCAGGCATCCCCTGCATGGAAACCTAAGCTTAACTCCCGAGTGAAGTCCACAAGGCCACAAGAGATTTTGTAATCGTAGCGGCAAAGCCACTGCGAAGTGTATCATAGCCGTAACCAGAACGAAGCGAGCAGACACGGTCGGGCTCCGACATAACACGCTGAATAGCACGCGGCTTGGAGCTCAGAGTTGCCGTGCTAGCCGAGAATATTATTCCGCATCAGCGGCACCTTGAAGACAGCATCCTCCATAGCAAACCGGTGAAGCCGTCATTCGTTTCGGGTAACAACTGCCTAATCTACACTGAACAAAGTTGCCACAAACTAAACTACACATAGCTCGCCAACTTACTACCTAACTCACGAACGACCTAGCTATCTACCTGTCGATGTATCCATCTATGCGTCTATCTATCTGTTCGTCTATATTTCTATCCATCTGTCTACCTGGTTGTTTGTTTATCTACCTACCTGCCTACCTGCTCACCTACCTAGCTACCTAGCTTCGCTAGCTACCTAGCTACCGAGCGACCTGCCTACCTATCCATACATCCACCCACCCATGCAGAACAGCCTGAAGTCTTCAGTGCCCCAAGGCCTGCCCCAAGACCCCGACAGCGCCTGCCCATGGCCCCAACAAGCCCATGTTTCGACTCCAGGATGGATCCTTGCAGGAAGTCTTGGGAAGCAAGGCACAGAGTTGGGGCAAGCGCTTTGGTCTTTTTCTTTTCTCTCGTCCTCTCTGGACGCTTTTGATGGTGCTGTCGTAGAGTGGATGCATTTGGACTCTCTGCTTCGGAGTCTTGTCGGTGCGAGGCCAGCCAGCCTACAGCCCAAGCCCCAAAAGATGTGGACGTTCTTCGCCGCTCGGTGGCCAAAAGGGTACCGCTTTGCTGTACTGAAATGTTGCTGTCTCGGCTCAACCCGGGCCTGGATTCCGAGTTGCACGCGGTGTAAAACCATAAGTCGGTTGAATCCAAAGCTTCAGTATCTCGATACTAATGCCGAAACCCCATGCAATCCAGCGGAAGCTTCCTGCGGCATGAGACTGAAGTGCTCCAAGGCCTCCACGCCGCGCAGATGCTCTTAAGTGCTGCAGAGGCTGCCATCGAATGTGTGCGGGTGTTTTTGTAGAGCAGATTTCATTATCGATTCCCGCTTCTGGTTGTGCTTGTGGTCACGCTCTCGGATGGCTCTTCCGGCAGCATGGAGGTAGGATCGAGGTCTTCCGTGGAAGGCCCGATGAGCTTCACTCACTCACACACACATTGCTTGCAAAAGCCAGATCTTCAATACTCCAAACGACACAACATACGGGAATTACTGGGCTTCCTGAAAGGACGGTTCCCTGGAGAAGGCCCTCATCGATGCCTCCAAGGTGCCGATGAGTCCGACTTTCTGATTGTGCCCTTGGTGCACACAACATGGGGGTTTCAAGGCCTGCAGAAGACTCCCAGCACCTGGTGTCAGGACACCAGCGACATCGATCTCCTGCGACAGGACCGGACCGAGGCTTTCCAGGTGTCGTCGCACGCGTTGCTTGGCAACCAGGGTTTCACGGTGAACGGCAAAGGTACTTTTCGGGAGTTCTTGCGACTCTTGCGCATGGCTGCGCCTTCTCCGGCTTTCTCCAGGAGGCGGCGGCAACGCTTCTGCGAGCTGCCGAAGATGGAACTCTTGAGTCGGTCTTGAGCAAGAACCAAGCCCCGAAGGAGCATCGGAGAGTTTTTGTTCAGTTATTTCTTTGTGTTTGTTTATTATTACTACTACACTTCTTGTTGTTTTCTTTCTGATTCTGCTAGCGGTTCACTGTCAGGGTTCTTGTTTGTTTGAACAAGGATTTATTCGCATGTGATGCTTTGGGTTTGGTCGTCTGGCTGGGTGGTCAAGGTGTTTTCGAGGCTTGTCTCCCTTGAGGAACAAGCCCGAACCAGTGGACAGGGATAACAGAGGAAAGCTGTTACAGAAACTAGGGAATTTGAGAGAAGCGGCAAGAACGAGTGTAGAGAACTTGGAAACGGGATATAATTTGAGATAGAAGAGAAAAACAGTCGGATGCGACTAGAAAATTGTGAAAAACAGGAGCCATCGGCTCAAAAAAGACTAGAGACTTAAACAAGAAGTTTGAAGAAACGCAGCACGCAAGCCTAAAGGATTGGGCAAAAGACGGAAAGTGCCGCGATTCGGCACGCTGTGTGGACTGGTGTCAATGAGACTGCGTGGGAATGTTGTCACAGTGCCCTTTGGCATCTCCCAGGGTCTCAATGCTTAAAGGATTGGACAGTTTCAGAAGCGGAATGGTTATACCGCTCGAAGGAGGAAGGATAACTTTGCAGAGAAGAGCGTTTGAAAGTGCGGAGAGGCAAACTCGTTGAACGGGACCTGCAAATTAAACTGGAGCAAGCACCTCGAAGCAGACTGGCGAGAAGCCGGAGCAACGAATATTTGAGAACAGGAGCAGACCGCTGGAAAGAAACAAGAGAGTGTGACAAAGCGAGGAGTTTAAGAACTAAAGCAATCAGAAGGACCAGAAACATTCAGAAACAGGAGCCAACGATGCGAAAGGTTTGAAAACGACAAATTTGAGAAACGAGCACCCGAAACGGATTCCAGAGCGCTCAAGACGAGGAGGAGCAAGCCGCTTCGAAAAAAAACTTACATTTGAAGCACAAGAGCAAACCTCGACACATACTAGAGTTAGCGGGAAGGAGGAGACCATTCAAGGTGATACTTGGACAATATCCGTCGAAAGGGATCAGAACATGTGAGACAGCAGCAAGCATCTCGAAGGAGACTGAGGAACTTAACAACAAGAGACTTTACGAAGCAGGAGAAAACTAGTCGAAAGGGATGAGACAGCCGATGCTCGCGAAGCTTAGAGGTATTTTTACTTCCTTGTGCCGGTTGGCGGTGGCCACTGCTGAGGTTTCCTGGCAGTGTCATTTTGGATTCCCCCAACTTCACCAAGCGATGTAATGTAGAGGTTTCTGATTAATGTGAATCCCCAAGCAGACTTGTTGTAGGGAATCTAGTCTTGTTAGTTTCCACAGCAGCTTACTGTAGGAGTCCTTGTCAATTGGAGAAAGAAAATGCCGACGTTTCTTGGTTTGGGCGGGTGGCCAATGCCGGGGTATTCGATGCCTGCCTCCCGTTGTTTCCCTTGATGCGGGTCCTGGGGTCTTGAGTCAAGAACAGTTACTGCGAAGCTGTGGCTTCAGTGAGTTGGCGTCTTCAGTGGTGTAACTGTTCAGCTTATCTCAGCAATATCTCCCGCGGGCAAGTCGTATCCGGATATGCAGGTTTCCCTGCATGCTCATTTACGAATACGTTGACCTCACGACGAACGTGATAAAGACAGGGTGTGTACGCTTGCACGGGCAGCCACCGGACCAAGTGCCTGCGGCAAACATTCACGTCGTGTTTGTTGTGCATCAGTTGACCGCTTGCAGCTGCACGTGTCGTGTGGTTAGCCGTTTCGATTGGGCAACTAAAGCTACCAAAGCAAGTGTGTAAAGCGGTGACGCTTCAAGTTTGTGGGCGATGACCTACATAGTGGTCTTACTAGTCTTACGAAGTATTGGTGTAGGAGCGAAGACAGCAGTCCTCTACAAACCTCGCTTGCAGCCTGACTTGGGTAAATTCAGTACAAAATTCGTACACTGCGGGGCTGTGGAGAGTCTCGCGACTCAAGCCCAAATCCAGTCCCATCTCCAGGACGACCTCGAGTCCCTGCGCCAGGATGCTTCTTCCTTTCAGCAATTGTCTCATCCTCTCTTGCTTTTGTTGTTCTTGTCAGTCGTGGGTACCACTGCTACAGGGCGGCGACGACAGCGACCACAACAGCGACGACGACAACGACCACAAGAGCAATTTCAAGAGCACGAGCAGTAACAATAACACGAACAAGAACAATTGCAGGAGCAAGAACCGCAACAACATCGACAACACAGCAACAGGAGCAACACTACCACGACGGCGACGACGACGACTACTACTGTTACCATCACCACCGCGACCACCACGACTAGTATTATGAGTGTTACGAGTACGACGACGACCACTACCACTACTACCACGGCGACGGCGACTACTGCTACTACCACTACTATCACTACGACTTCTAGCACTACTACGACGACTACTACTAATACTGCCACTACTACTACTACTACTACTACTACTACTACTACTACTATTACTACTACCACTACTACTACTACTACTACTACTACTACTACTACTACTACCACCGCTACTGCCACGACGACGACGACTACGACTACGACTACGACTACGACGACAACGACTACTTTTACTGCTACGGCTACTACAACAACGAGTAGGACCTACGACCACGGCGACGACTGCGATTGCGACTGCGAATGCGACTGCGACCACGGCTACGACTGCGACTACTGCGACGACTAGCTACTTCTACGACTACAACGACGACGACGATGGCGGACGACGGACGATGACGACGACGACTACTACCACCACTACTTCTGCCAGAAAAACGTCAAAACTTTTCATGCTGCGAGTGGTTGGAATTCCATCCGGTCATTTTCGGTCGGCCTTTGCATTGCCAAGCAGTATTACCCAACTTGTATCAGAGCTGACGCGAGTGCTGCAAGGTTAACGCAAGGAGCTAGTGCTGCCATGAAAGCTTTTCTCGAAGTGAGGGTGCCGGACAGGAGGCTGCTCACACCCTCTTAGCTGCTGCCCAGGCAGTCTGTCAGAATTTTTGCAGATTTCAGTCGGTTTGCTGGTTACGTGGAAATTTCATTGGATTTGTGGCAGATGTGCACTAGGAATTCCAGGCCTGTGCTTGAAATTCTTGGCTGTACTTCGAAAAGTTGAAGCCGGCTTCCTTGCTGTGGCAGGTCTCGTACCTGATGCCATCCGTAAGCCTTGAGACCAGACTGGCAAAGCAATGGGTCTGCTTAAGACGGCAACAGCGGCAACGCACATCAGAACCAAGCGCGAGAGGGCATATTGATCGCTCAGTAAAGCATTGCATGAGGTGATAGTTCTATCGCATGTGCACAAGCATCCGCCGACCTTTGCAACAAGAGCTATGTTTTAGTAGGCGAGCAGAAGCACGTCTAGAGTACGAACTCCGTGCACAAATGGAAGTTATTCAATTCTTCTTTGCGGGATTTACACAGAAAGTTGCGTCATCGGGACTCTTAGAGGAGACTCTGCTTGCGGAGTGCAGAAATCCCCAAATGGACCCGAGAAGTGATCGCCACAGACTCGCGATACACTGGATAAGCCTTGAACTGAAAGGGTGAGTTGAAGCAGGACACCCCAAAGAAGATCTCCGCCGTGTAAGCCACTCATGTGCTTCGCTTGAGAGGATGGACGTCTGGAGGAGGTGCTGACCAAGAAGAGCCAGGAGTGGCCCTGCGTGGATCTTCCAGACAGAGACATCGCACGAGAAGTGAAGGAGTGGTTAGGTTTTGGCACATCAGAGGAACTCTCCGGGTAGAGAGATACTTGCTTTAAACGGCTATGGCTATGGTCCATGGTTCAAGGGATTTTCAGACAGAAGCCTCTCCAATTTTCTCGCTGCTGGTAGCTGCCATGCCTCCAGTGCAATCGCGCTTCGCTGCAGCTGGCCTTGTCGCCGGCCTTGCAGCCTCCGCCTTTGTCGCACCGTCCACCCGCGGAGATCGCCAGCTGAGGGCAGGCGGGACCTCAAAGGCTCCCGCTCGCACACGGACGCCCGTGTCTCAGCAGACTGGCGACGGCTTGGCTGCTCTCGCGATACTTGGCGCTGGCTTGGCCGCTGTGCGTGGATCCCGTATGCAGGTCAACGCTGCTGCCGTGGAGGCTCCTGAGCCGCCACTCTTCCAGCCTTCGGAGCAGTTCGGTTCCACCGAGCCTGTTGGATTTTTCGATCCGCTGGGGTTCACCAAGGTGGGTGATGAGAAGGGCTTCAGGAAGCTGCGTGTCGCGGAGATCAAACATGGTAGAGTAGCTATGATGGCTTCGATTGGGCTTGTCGCACAGCATTTCGTGAAGTTCCCCTTCTTCGAGAATGCTCCCGCCGGCTTCTCCATCATGGACAAGGGCGAAGGCGTGCTAGGCTTCTTCGGCATCTTCCTCGCTTGCGCCCCACTGGAGCTGTGGTGGAGGGAGAACCCGCAAAACGAGCCCGGAAATTACGGTGATCCCTTCGGTGTGAACATGTACACCGAGGAGATGAGGATGAAGGAGCTTAACAACGGGCGCATGGCCATGATCTCGGTTCTGGGAATCTTCGCCGCAGAGATGGCCACCGGCAAGGACGCCATGCAGCAGTTCGGGCTTTCCGCCATCGCTGGTGCCCGTGTCTCCACTTCCTCCAGCCGCTTTGCAGGATACACCTCTTCCACAGTCGTGGCTCAGCAGCGCGTGGTGCGAAGGGCTGAGGCCGTGATTCAGGAAGATGCCCCGCCACTCTTCCAGCCTTCGGAGCAGTTCGGTTCCACCGAGCCTGTTGGATTTTTCGATCCGCTGGGGTTCACCAAGGTGGGTGATGAGAAGGGCTTCAGGAAGCTGCGTGTCTCGGAGATCAAACATGGTAGAGTAGCTATGATGGCTTCGATTGGGCTTGTCGCACAGCATTTCGTGAAGTTCCCCTTCTTCGAGAATGCTCCCGCCGGCTTCTCCATCATGGACAAGGGCGAAGGCGTGCTAGGCTTCTTCGGCATCTTCCTCGCTTGCGCCCCACTGGAGCTGTGGTGGAGGGAGAACCCGCAAAACGAGCCCGGAAATTACGGTGATCCCTTCGGTGTGAACATGTACACCGAGGAGATGAGGATGAAGGAGCTTAACAACGGGCGCATGGCCATGATCTCGGTTCTGGGAATCTTCGCCGCAGAGATGGCCACCGGCAAGGACGCCATGCAGCAGTTCGGGCTTTCCGCCATCGCTGGTGCCCGTGTCTCCACTTCCTCCAGCCGCTTTGCAGGATCCACCTCTTCCAGAGTCGTGGCTCAGCAGCGCGTGGTGCGAAGGGCTGAGGCCGTGATTCAGGAAGATGCGCCGCCACTCTTCCAGCCTTCGGAGCAGTTCGGTTCCACCGAGCCTGTTGGATTTTTCGATCCGCTGGGGTTCACCAAGGTGGGTGATGAGAAGGGCTTCAGGAAGCTGCGTGTCTCCGAGATCAAACATGGTAGAGTAGCTATGATGGCTTCGATTGGGCTTGTCGCACAGCATTTCGTGAAGTTCCCCTTCTTCGAGAATGCTCCCGCCGGCTTCTCCATCATGGACAAGGGCGAAGGCGTGCTAGGCTTCTTCGGCATCTTCCTCGCTTGCGCCCCACTGGAGCTGTGGTGGAGGGAGAACCCGCAAAACGAGCCCGGAAATTACGGTGATCCCTTCGGTGTGAACATGTACACCGAGGAGATGAGGATGAAGGAGCTTAACAACGGGTGCATGGCCATGATCTCGGTTCTGGGAATCTTCGCCGCAGAGATGGCCACCGGCAAGGACGCCATGCAGCAGTTCGGGCTTTCCGCCATCGCTGGTGCCCGTGTCTCCACTTCCTCCGGCCGCTTTGCAGGATCCACCTCTTCCAGAGTCGTGGCTCAGCAGCGCGTGGTGCGAAGGGCAGAGGCCGTGATTCAGGAAGATGCGCCGCCACTCTTCCAGCCTTCGGAGCAGTTCGGTTCCACCGAGCCTGTTGGATTTTTCGATCCGCTGGGGTTCACCAAGGTGGGTGATGAGAAGGGCTTCAGGAAGCTGCGTGTCTCCGAGATCAAACATGGTAGAGTAGCTATGATGGCTTCGATTGGGCTTGTCGCACAGCATTTCGTGAAGTTCCCCTTCTTCGAGAATGCTCCCGCCGGCTTCTCCATCATGGACAAGGGCGAAGGTGTGCTAGGCTTCTTCGGCATCTTCCTCGCTTGCGCCCCACTGGAGCTGTGGTGGAGGGAGAACCCGCAAAACGAGCCCGGAAATTACGGTGATCCCTTCGGTGTGAACATGTACAGCGAGGAGATGAGGATGAAGGAGCTTAACAACGGGCGCATGGCGATGATCTCAGTTCTTGGCATCTTCGCTGCAGAGATGGCCACCGGCAAGGACGCCGTGCAGCAGTTCGGCTTGTAGATTTTCTTTATGAAGCCGTTTCCCGATGCCACATGCACGCATTTTCGTCATCCCTTTGTTCTTTCGGTCCTTGTGGCAAGCAAGTTGACCCCAAAGTTCCAATTGTCGCTTCGCGCCCTGCCTCGGTGCCGCCTGGTTTCAAGATACGTTTCCCCATCGTGGAACAGCTCCAGATGATGAGCGCCCTATGCTAAAGAGCAAGAAGACGAAAGATCTCATGCTTTGAAGAGGAGCAGATGCAAACAGGATGCAGGGTTAGGGCATGTGCCGGATGTCTGCATGGGCCCAGGTGTAAAGTTTAAAGGAAAGGGCATTGTCACACTCTCATGACGTTGAAATGCTTGTGTATGCTGCGGCGATCTCGCTCAGCACAGATAGGAAGGAATCAGAATTCAGCATTGTTGTCCGTCGATTTTCTGCTTCTTCAGGTTTTGTTCTACCTTGTTTTTTGTCACATTCCAGAACATTGTCGTGGGGTCAGCGCTGGGTGCGCAAGATTGCGAGAGTGGATGACATACTGACGTCTCAACTCCGAAACGGTGTGGCAACTTGGCTCGAGCCTTTTCTCTGTGACCTGCCGCCCGTGATCTTCCCTGGCCATGAGACGGAGTGCACTAGGTCGGGCCGGGGCTGTCGCCTTCGTGGTGAGCGCCGGCTATGTCTGTCTTGATGGCCTAAGCTTCGTTGGGGCTGGTCTCTTTGGCAGCCGATCCTTGTCCAGCGAGATGAAGGGTTACAGGCTGGACAGGATGCTTGAAGCCACGGATGGCGACCGATCATTGCAGACCTCGGAAGGCTTCTGGATCGGAGAGAAAGGCTTCGAGAAGTCGCAGTGGGCACAAGGCTACCGATACCGCATGCGGGCCTCGCCGGAGGAGTTCAAGAACGGCATCGACTGTCCGGCTCCACTCCAGATCGGCCCCATCAAGTGGAAGGTGGGCGAATGCTTCGGTGGAAGCGGCAACAACGACAAGCTGCGCCAGCTGAAGAAGGAGCTGGCCCAGGCCGGCCTCGACGACCCCAAGAAGCTCGCCGAGAACGAGTACTGGCTAAAGCGCTACGGCCGCAAGCGCTGGTACCCCAAGTACATCAACCAGTCCGGTGCCAAGAATCAGCAGGGCCTCTTGCGCGGCTTGGCGGCCTGGTCCGGCTACGACCCCCTCAATGAGGAGCGTGGCAAGACGTGGATCGAGGCGGATTATGGCAAGCCTCTCGTGGAGGGCAAGAAGGATTATCGGCTGCCTGGCCTCCTCACCAAGGAGCAAATGCAGATTGAGCTTGACAGCGGCAAGCTGCCCAAGCCCGGTGCCTGAGAGGATAGGTCGAGGTCGAGTCTTGCAGTGATTTAAGAGGTCGAGCTTTGCCGAGCTTCTGCCTGCAGCCTTGGTATGACAGCTTGGAACAACTCTCTTATGCCGTCTTCGTCCCAATCCACGCTGATCTACTTCCTTCCAAGCTGTCCTGAAAGCTCCAGGTCTTTGACACTGGGCCTGCTCCATAGTTTTTCCATAGGTATGTATATAGGGGCTCGGGGGCCTTTTGTTGGAAGACCCAGGCAGGACTGAGTGGAAGATGCGGGCTGTAGGGTTTGAGGGGTCTAAGGATTCAAAGATGCGGGGGGAGTTATGCCTTAGGATGCATGGGTCCCAAGTTCAGGGTTCTCTGATCTCTTGCACTCGCTGATACATGGGTTCAATATCTAAAGCATTGCAAGGCGATCTCGCTCAGCACAGGTGGGAAGCAATCAGCATTCTGCATCGCTGTCCTTCTATTTGTTTCTTCTGGTCGTCTGGTTTGTCACATTCCAGAGACTCGAACATGTTCCAGAGACTCGAACATGTGGAACATTGCATTGTCGTGGGGTTAGCGCTGGGTGCGCAAGATTGCGAGAGTGGATGACATACTGACGTCTCAACTCCGAAACTGTGTGGCAAATTGGTTCAAGCATTTTCTCTGTGACCTGCCGCCCGTGATCTTCCCTGGCCATGAGACGGAGTGCACTAGGTCGGGCCGGGGCTGTCGCCTTCGTGGTGAGCGCCGGCTATGTCTGTCTTGATGGCCTAAGCTTCGTTGGGGCTGGTCTCTTTGGCAGCCGATCCTTGTCCAGCGAGATGAAGGGTTACAGGCTGGACAGGATGCTTGAAGCCACGGATGGCGACCGATCATTGCAGACCTCGGAAGGCTTCTGGATCGGAGAGAAAGGCTTCGAGAAGTCGCAGTGGGCACAAGGCTACCGATACCGCATGCGGGCCTCGCCGGAGGAGTTCAAGAACGGCATCGACTGTCCGGCTCCACTCCAGATCGGCCCCATCAAGTGGAAGGTGGGCGAATGCTTCGGTGGAAGCGGCAACAACGACAAGCTGCGCCAGCTGAAGAAGGAGCTGGCCCAGGCCGGCCTCGACGACCCCAAGAAGCTCGCCGAGAACGAGTACTGGCTAAAGCGCTACGGCCGCAAGCGCTGGTACCCCAAGTACATCAACCAGTCCGGTGCCAAGAATCAGCAGGGCCTCTTGCGCGGCTTGGCGGCCTGGTCCGGCTACGACCCCCTCAATGAGGAGCGTGGCAAGACGTGGATCGAGGCGGATTATGGCAAGCCTCTCGTGGAGGGCAAGAAGGATTATCGGCTGCCTGGCCTCCTCACCAAGGAGCAAATGCAGATTGAGCTTGACAGCGGCAAGCTGCCCAAGCCCGGTGCCTGAGAGGATAGGTCGAGGTCGAGTCTTGCAGTGATTTAAGAGGTCGAGCTTTGCCGAGCTTCTGCCTGCAGCCTTGGTATGACAGCTTGGAACAACTCTCTTATGCCGTCTTCGTCCCAATCCACTCTGATCTACTGCCTTCCAAGCTGTCCTGAAAGCTCCAGGTCTTTGACGCACTTGTGGTGGCCTCTAGCGATGGTTGGCTCCAACCTGCTGTATCCTGACACCCCACACACATATCTATACATATCACATATATATATATATATATGTATAATTACATATGTGTGTATGTGAGAACATAAATACATGTATGTATAGATGTAGATGTAGTTGTAGATGTATTTTCACACATGTAAGCAGACGTTTGTATGCACATATGTGCATATTTACCTATTTGTACACAGGTTTCCACCTGCACACACACTTCTACATAAGAGAGGTTTCCGCAAAGCTCTTTGAGGTCCAATTTTTCACCGAGACAATGTAGAGCCTCCCGAGATGCTCGACGTGGCCACCGAACTCTCTGCAGAAAAGAAGCTAGCATCAAGGGCCTTGTGAGTGAGAGTAGTTGTGTTTAGTTGGGGCGTGCGTGGGGACGCGGGATATTGCAGCACAATTGCATGGGGACTGCGAGGGGATGTTGGCAGTGGTTTGCACGCCTACGGTACCAAACTGTCAAATCTCTGCAGTGCTATCATGTTTTTTTTTTTTTTCTGCTGGTCTTCGATCTGCGAACCACCCATGACCGAAGCATTTTGAGTCTCTGCTCCAGGAGACCAACATCGAGGCAATCCGACTCGAAGCTGCTGCAGCGCTCTGCAAAGCCATGGAGGCCTCGCTGACATGTCGCTGTTCGGCCGTGGCCGGACATACGACACCCTATGTAAGGCCTGAGCGCAAGTACCGACACTACTATGGTCCAGTGACTGACCTGTGGTAGCTGAGTCAGCCAGTGTGCTGTGCAGAAGTCCAGAAGCCACATTTTTTCAGGAGGGCAGCTTGGAAGCTGCATTGGCGCAGGCGAAGGGCCAGAAGGTCGGGAAAGAAAGACGGCACGGTGTTCGGTCTTATGTTGAGTGTTGCGATGGCTGCCATGATGATGATGATGATGATGATGCGAGAGGGTAAAAGATGATGCCAGCGATGCTTACAATGATAGTTTGCGACCATGATGACAATCGTAGCAACGACGCGGCAACGGCAGTACTAAACCTCACGATCATGGTAAGTACCGTCGCACCAGTCGCAGAAAGACACCTTATGGGACGTATGCAAGGAGTCCTGGCAAACGGACTGTGAGAGGCATGAGGAAGGTAGTTGTAGCCGGCATTGCTGCCGCCCGTTTTTTGCTACTGTTCACGTACCATGGGGGCCATGGCTGGTGTGACTTGCTGTTGTCGACATGCACCGTGCTGAGCGCAGCGACAAATCTGGTTGTCCTTCCGTCGTTGCGTCGACTGGTTCTTGCATGGTTCTTGGGAAGGGTGAAGACACCAAACAGTGAAGCTTAGCTATGCTTAGCTGCTCTCTGTGTGGCCAAATTCTTTGGCTCAGTAGCGAGGCATTAAAACTTGAGCCATAATGCAGGAAAGGGTTTCTTGGAGGTCTAGGTGCACATGTGACTTTCAGAGTAGAGTATGCAGAGGTTTTGCTTTCTGATCACGTTTGTGCTCTTGGAGCGACAGCAGATGTCTTTTTGCACAGGACGTGGACGTCCACGTGTTGAAGCAGGCGCGTTCACCAGAAAGGCGAAGGCCTTGAAACTGATGAACACCGAACGAATTGAGAGAAAACTCTAAGTACAAAGTCAACAGAAAGAGGAGCAGCAACGTCCAGTGTGCGCCTGGTCCCTTGAACCAATTGCTTAGGCAGGTGGCCCATGTGCAATTTTTGGTTTTGGTGGTAGTGATGAGGATGTTGACGGTTTTCGGCAATGAAACTAATCATGACGTCGGCGGGGCAAGGGCGACGACGAGGACGATCATGATGTTGACCAAGACTGACCAAGACGATGCATATGGCTATGAAGGTGAGTCGATCTGAAGAGCTACGGCAGCCAGTCGCTCTCGCAAATCATCGTGGCGCCGTTTACACTGAACCGAAGAAGGGAACAAGCAGCCGGAATGTGCAGTTGCGCAATGCTGCGCAGTGAGATGTGCAGGCAGGCGTCAGGCTTGTTGTGCACCCGCAGGAAGCAGCCACGGCTTTGCTCCAAGCTGCCCAGGTCCTGGGGGTTCATGGTGCCAGATGGCGCCTCTCAGGGTCATTCAGGGTGAGTGTCTTGTTTACGTGACCAGGCACGGGCTAACGCTCCAGGGGGGCCGTAGTCTTCGGCTGGAAAGCGCATCGTAACTCCGGAAGACTCTGTCCAGTGTCAGGATGGAAGCCTTGAGAAGGCCTTCGCCGAAGTGAAGTCGGAGCCGCAGCAGGCTCTGGTCTGCTTGGGCCACTGAAAAGGTGTATTAGACAGGTGCACCTCGCAGCTCGCAGCGGTCCAAGTGAGAACTTGCTAGAGATAGCGTGTCTCGTGCAAGACGTCGCAAGGTTGTACTTGAGTTTGCTTGAGGAGCTAGGTGTGTCGCGAGGGCTAGGTGTCGTATTGTTAGGCTGAAGACGAAGAAGCCGCGTGCAAAGAAGCCAACTGACCCGCCATGCCAAGCTTGAACCTAAACTTCATCAGGTTGGGATGGGGCCGAAGGGATAGAGCCTAGATGAAGGCTTCTTCTACCTGTTGCTCTCTTCAAATACTTGTCATGGCCCGTGCTGCCAGGAGCTGGAATCTCTTCGAATGGCGGCTGCAGAGACACTGTTGAAGGTCGGGGTGTGCCAGGATCTACTGTATTGTGTTGATTTAATGCTCCGGTTTTCGACTGTGCCCAGGTTTTCGCATCCGGAAAACCCCAACGAAAACACACGCACCATTCGTTTCGGAATCAGCTTAACTCCCAGACTCTGGACTCCCAAGGACTCCCAACCTAGACCCCAAAGGCTCGCTCCTAGGTCCCGGGTGTGAGGCAAAGAACCCAAGTGACGCCAAAGTTTGTACGAATCTCCCGGACCGGGAGGCTGCAGTGGATGGCAGCCTGGAGCAGGCCGCGGCCAGGTTTTGGTCTTCCTGGAAGCAACCGAGTTAGGAATCGATAGCAGAAGCTACTTGTATTGCAAGGACGCCAAGACATGTCAAGACTTGCAATGCTAGAAGATGCCTCCTTTGCTGTATTGCTATTTGCTACTTGCTACGATCCGGCTCGGTTCGATGTCGCACGGTTCCATGTGCTAAGAGTAATAAGGTCGGATACTTCAAGATGGGAGTTGAACCGGAACCGGAACATCGTCAGCGTCGCTTGTGTGATACCGTGCGGTGCAGCATCAGGGTACTGTTGTTTCGTGCGATGCTGGCTTTATGAAACAATTCTCTTGCTGCCGTGTATGCGCATGCGGTTCTGCGCCGATATGTGTTTCCGTCCATTGTCAAATGTTGCCTAGACTGCTCTGCCTGCGGGAACTGAGCTGCCGACAGGCACTGCGCGCAGCTCCGCGGAGCGCGGCTTCAGGCACACCGCTCCCTGGAAGCCGCGGAAGACTTAGACTCAGTGCAGATTTGGGCAGGCATTACATCTGCAGGGACTTCCGAACTGGGCGACCTGGCCACGGACTGGCGCTGCAGCTCATGGGGGAAGGGCCTTCGATGAGCGTCCTGGTCTTGCTTCCTCTCGCCTGACCTTACCAGGACCTGGTGCACGCTGCCTGTCAAGCCGCCGAGACCCCACAGGGGCCGCTGTCTGTGGTGTTTTCGCAGGCACCTGCAGCCGGTCGTGTTTTAGTCTGCGTTTGTCTAGATCCGTCGATGCTGCTACTTTTTCCGTTGCGGCTTCCGGGGACTCTGGCGTTTAAATTCGAGGCAGCTGGCCATACGACTCTTAGCTTGCTGGGTTCCTGCAAGCCCGCGTTGAGTCACTTTAAGTTGCATGTCATGGGAGTACGGAGTATTGGTCCTTTTCCGCTTGTAGGAACTCAAGTGTGTCCGAAAGAGCACACTAGAAGAACGAACTCTCCAGGTCGGTCCTGGCGATGTGCATGCTAAGCCCTACTTGGAGGATCATGGGACTTAGTAAGTAATGTTATAAGTACCCTCATTGGGGTTATAAGTAGTTATAAGTACAACTACCTAGTAGCAACCCTAGTTACTAAGTCCCACGAGCTAGCTAGCGTTTAATCAGTGCGCGAGTCAGAAGCCGCTTTCCATCGAAGCTTGTTACATCGCAGAGCAAGGGTTCAACAGGGTACCGGGGCGAGAGAAACGGGTGTTTCTCACAATTTGGTGTACTTCACATGGGGATTCTTATAAGATTTATCCTGCCATTTGTGTGTCAGTTTTCTGTTTTTCGGTCCTACCTACCAACAGTCACAAGTGTCCGGATTGGCCGAGTTGTAGCGTTGAAGTATGGCAGTCTCGCAGAGGAGCCAGTGGACGAAGAATCGCTGCCAAAGGCATCTCTGGGGCAGGGGTTAAAGCGTGATGTCCACAGAGAGTCTTACTGTTAAAGACGTCTAGGGTTAAAAGGCGTTGTGCAAGAATCCTCGCCCAGGCGATCAGGATCGGATGTTGACCGCAAGAAGTTGATGTCTACTTTGAGTGAACATGCAGGAATGTGCCTGTGCCCAGCGGAAGTGCAAGTTCTACTACTTGTTTTCTTATTGGCAGTCCATGTTCAGGCGATATCACAAGTCCCGACTAGATGAAGCTCAAGCCATTTAGGCCCCATCGCATGGCAAGAGTTAATTTTGCAGGCCAGATCTACGCATATTCAGGGCGCCTGAGGTAGCAGATGGATGCTAGCAGCCGCTAATCACTGTTGGCGAGCCCAGTGCGTCCTTTTGAGAAGGAGTAGTTCCGAAGGCAAGGTGCAAAGGTGGAGTTCCTCAAATTCCTTGTTTGGTTGCAGCTCAGCCAGCAGACTCCGAGAAAGGCCACCAAGCCTGTCGAGCAGGGCAAGGTGGGCCTGGTCCGAGTAGTTTCGAGTAGAACTTGAGTTGCGAAGAGTCACAGGGTGCTTTTTGCATCAAGGGATGTAGGTCGTGATAGTGTGCATCTGAGACCCCGGGAGATGCTGCGCCCGGAGGAAATAGCCGCAGCTAGCAGCAGCAGAAGCAGCAGCAGCAGCAGTAGTTCTAGCAGTAGTAGGAGCAGGAGCAGTAAAGTGGTAGTGGCAGTGGTGGCAGTTGCAACAGTAGTAGCGGCAGCAACAGCAATAGCAACAGCAGTAGCACGCAGTCGGTGGCGTCGTCGCTGCTACAGCAGCAGCAACGGCAGCAGGAGTAATTTGTAACATGTCCGATGAGGGGTAGCAGGAGCATAAGCAGCAGCATCGGCAACAAGCAGCTGCAGCAACGGCAAAAATAGAAGTAATAGCCGTGTCAGTATCTACAATTGCAAGCTCCAGTATCGAGGCTTCCGACAAACACGTAGCATTACAAGGACCACGACGCATGGCAACGCGAAGAGCGGGAGTGGTCTCAAACGTAAAAACCGAGACGCCCATGAAGCTTCACAACATGGAAGCCATGGCAAACATCCGAAGCATGAACAAGTCTGCCAGCACAGCTAGACTGCATAATGCCCCAGTAGGAGCAATCGCAACATGCGGATGCATGTTCGGAGGAGCAGGTGTCATATCCACGAAGCAGGTTCGGTGCAAAGGCAACAAAACACAATGCCAAGAAAAGAGTCGGCGGCAGGACATCGAGGCCATCCGACAGGCCGCAGCACGCTCGCTGCTCAAGGCTGCCGAGGACACCCGAACATGGCCGGTGCCAGCAGCTCTGTAGCGCTGCGGTAGCTCTCTGCTCGCGTACGATTCTGCCACAGCGGGTCGCGGCATCATTGCAGGGTCTACGTATGTACAGTACTTAGTAGGCTAGATTGGGCAAAGGCCTTCGACAGAATACAACATGTCAGAATGGCGATAGTCTTTAGCAGACTCGGTACTCATCCGCACTTACATTGATGTCATGATGATTTGTTACAGCAATCCCCGCTTGTTTCTTGAGGATGAGCATGGAAACCCAGTATAAAACAACGAGGATCAGGCACTCGCCGAGGATGACCTTTGTCTCTTTGTTTGTTCGTGCTAGCAATGTCTGTGATAGACCATGACAACAGCCGCATACGGTGAATTCTAGGTTTTCCGGAGTTGATTTCGATATAGTTTCCTATGCGGATGATACTTACTCATCGGTACCAACACCTAAGCCGCCGATCATTTGTTACATGAGGCAGAAGCCGTATCCGCACAATTCGAGTTACGCCTTCATAGAGAGAAATGCTGCAACATTGCTATGAACGGGCGCAATGTCATGAATTTGCTGATGGTACCGGTTTGAAAAGAGCCACCGCAGCCACGTGTCTGCGAGATCAAATCACACAAGCCACGGCCATAAGGCATGAAATCAACCATCAAATGCATGATACATTGAACGTTTGGTATAAGCTAACCAGTTCCAGGATTTAAACTCCGAAGCCCAAGACCCATCCTATGATCACATGAACCAAACCGCCAAACCACTCCACACGCAAGCTCAAGGCCCAAGCCGTTCCACAGAGGGGCAAACCGAGTTGCAAGAGTCCAACAGCCCCAGCCAATTTGGGATTAAGGGTTTAGCGTTCCAGGATGGCACATTGGAGTCAGCCTTGGGTGCTGTGACGACGCCATCCCAACAGGTGCCAACTTTGCAACTTGCTGTAAGCTTTCGGATTGCTGCTTGGGGACGTGTCTCCGAACCTGGGAGGGTTCTGGCTCCTTGGCTGTTGGCTTCCAAGGCTTCTTGGCTTCTCGGCTCGTTGAATTGGGTCTTCAGATCTCAGGGGCAAAGAAGGAAGCGAGGGAGAAATCACGGTTGAGGGCCAAGAGCTTATGCAATGTCGTCACAGCAACGATGTCTAATGGATTCTGCGTTGATATGAGGTGCCTGGAATCCTTGAGTGGCAGGGTTTGTTGGAGGTATGTGTCGAAAGTTGCTGTGCGGATTTGCAACAGTAAACAGACCGACCTTTGTCTTGTTCGGGATCAAGAGCTTGAGAAGCCAAAGCGCTTGACGGTGCTGAGGCAGCCGTAGCGCCTTTATGGGCATGTTTGGCCGTGCCTTTCCAATGCTGACGCTGCTGTGCGCAGCTTTCGTGGCCCTTTGTGCTGTACGCTCCGCAGCAGCTGACTGCTCACACAACGGCGCGTGCATCTCGGGCGCAAGCGTGTGCACCGCTGGTTGGACGGGCAGTGCTTGTTCGGTGATTGATGTGGCTCCGTTTGACAAGACAAAGTGGGGCTACATGCCTATCCCAGATGGCTTCACCAGTTGGGGCGGTGCTGTGCTCAAAGAGGGCGGGAAGTACCATATGTGGGTCTCAGAGAATTCCAAGAAGTGTGGTATGGGCACCTGGGGCACCAACTCGAGGTGCATTCATACAGAAGCCACGAGTCCGGAGGGCCCGTATGCGAAGACAGGTGTGGTCTTCGGTCCGATGTGCCATGAGCCTAGAGTTATTATGGCGCCCACAGGAGAGACGGTGATGTACTTCACCGGCATGATGGCGTCACAGATGTGGGATCTGAGGCAACCGGCGGCTTCTCGTCAGATCATGCCTACACCACTGAGACCGAATTTCTTTGTGATTGCTTGTGCAACAGCAGTTGACAGAACCGCAGCTCCCCCCCCTTCGGATCGTGTGAACACGGCCTCCTCGGATCCGACATGAGTTGGACCACTCCAGGGGACGATGCGTCCTGGTCCAAGCCCGTCATTATCGATCCTCGTGATGTTCAGCCACCGGATTTCAAGACGCAGCCTTTGCAGGCGACACTATCGTAACCAGCTTCGGACCGGTCGAGATTCAAGCGAACGGGAGCCTGCTGGCAATGTGGCGGTCCTGGCAAGATTGCCCTGTGGGTTTAGGTACTTTCTGCTCCGTGATCCACACAGCCAGTGCAATGCACTGGAGACCAGGAATATCTTTGCTGATGAGAGCACTGGACCAGCGGAGTGTGGTGCCACTGGGTCATTGGTACCCCACTCCGCTGGGCCAATGAGTTCTTTGTAACCAAAGGGATTGAGGATCCCTTTGGATGGAAGGACTCGCAGGG